CCCTCTTCAAGGGGCCGCTCACCTACGTCCTGAGGAGATGGCCCGCCGGGGCGCCCCCTCCAGGGCACGCCGTGGCTGCTGCGTCTTGCCGGTCCCCAGAGAGCCCTGGCACAGAGGTCTGGAAGGGGGCTGAGGCCGGCATCAAGTCCGCCCACCTGCTCCCAGCAGCACCAGTGCAGACCAACAACTGGCACGGGAAAACCACGTTCTTGGCAGGGCTAGTGCGTGCCCGAGGTTAGCCTCCCACTTTCACTTCCAGTGAGAAGAGCTTGGCTATATACCGACTTTATGGAAATGGGAGACTCCTCTCTAGCTTCCTCCTGCAGCCATACAGCTGAGGGAAGTGAAACTTGGGGGCATGGCTGACTGGTGCCACCTTAGTCAGGGGGGCCACGTGCCCCCCCAGCAGCCAGTCATCCCCCCCATGGCCAATCTCACCGACCAGGGGGCAGAAAGGTCCCCCATGGCCAATTGTGCCAACTGGGAAGCAGCCACGGTGCTCCCAGAAGTGGCCACAGCACTACATCCAGTGCTCCCACTCCCCAGCTGGTGCTCACAGGGGGGACACCCGCGCTCCTGCCTGCCCCCCACCACTGAAGCAGTGAGCGCAGCCCATCAGGGGGTGCACCAGCTCTCAGGGGGTTCAAGTGCATCCCCCATGTGTCGGCACAGCTTGGGAGCATCTGAACCCCACACCTCTGGGCTCCGGCCTGCATGTGGGATGCCCACCAAAGGATTTGGAAGCATCTGAAACCCTAGGTGTGGGTGGAAGATGTTTGCCAGCAGTAGGGTCACATTTCATTCTTGAATGACTCATCGATTTGGAATTAATTTGGCTGATTTGACTTGGAACAGGAAAAATTTTCCTTAAAAAAAAAAACAGGAAAAGACCAGCCCCAGCTATAGCATCCCAGCCAAGGCTGTCATGAGAGTCCAAAATGCAAAGTGTTGTTCTCTTTTAATCTAGTTTGGGTCTTCGGTGTCTTCTATTGTTCTCATCTTATTTTTTTTTTACCTCCGTGCAGAGTAGCCCTGCTACCTGTCAGTCTGCTGCAGGCACAAGCTGGAGGAACTGGGGCCCCGTGACCGAATTCAATGGGTCTACCCATGCTTATAAAACATTTTAGCTCCAAGACAGTTAAAATCAGTAACGTGCATGTAACAGTGACGTTCCAGCTTGGTTCAGCTGGAAGGTGGGACAGCAAGTGTTAGAGCACAGAAAGGTGCCAGACAATGACAGCACTGGGAAAGCCTTGGAGATGTGCCCACTTTAGGAGTAGCAGATGGTAAGGAAAGAGAATGGAGGGAGTGATGTTGGAATAGCCCCTCCCACCACCATCAGATATCTCCAGTCCTTTGCCCCTAATTTCTGGCTGTCAGCAGGTTTGCAGATTCACAGGAGTTTAGGGCTGGAAGGGATCTCCTGAGATCATCAGGTGGTAATACAGGACAGCCCACCTGCTTTGGTGCACCATACATGCCTCAACTACATGGAAAACTGCAGTGGCTCTAGAAGTTCTGGTTGGCTGATTGGACCTGGAATCCACTCATGTGGTAAGAGTTTTTCCACAAAGTAGGGTATGGCACAGCTACCTGACTGAACTGAAGGAGTAGTGAACAAACATATATGCAACCCAGCATCTGACAGGAGCCTGTCAAAAGATAAGGGCTCTCTGTTAATGGGGGTTTCACAGCAGGGTAGACCTATACCTGGATGGGAGGCATGAATGTCATAAGAACGTAAGAATTGCCATTTACTGGGTCTGACCATAGTTCCATCTTGGCCAGTATCTTGTGTGTCAGAGTAGATGCTGAAAGGGAAAGCAGACTGGGTCTGACCAGTGTGTAATTTTCCTACTGTTCCTCTCTCAGTTGCAGCCTCCAGCATTTAAAGTCTAGGAAATTCTGATTCAGAGGCTGTTTCCCTAACTCCTATGCTCAATAGCTCTTGATGCCCCTTTCCTCCAAGAATATGTCCAATCTCTTTTTTAATCTGGCTAAACTGTCAGCTTCCACAATATCTGATGGCAATGAGTGCCACACTTCAATTACATATTGTGTGAAAAAGAACTCCATTAATCTTAAACTTACTACCTACTAGTTTTATTTTGTGACCCCTAGTTCCTGGATTGTGTGAGAGTGAATAATAAATTTAGGGATTAATACCATCATTTTACAGAAGAGTAAAAGGATGTGATAGTCTTCTGGGCAGGAATTTCTTATGTGGTGAGGTATCTCCGGGCTCTGTGATAATGCAAATTAC